TTCTTCATCAGGCAGACTCCCACATTCTATTCCCGTCATGACATCTGAACACACAGCATTTAACAACGTGTGCTGACGGTTTTAGTGAGGAGTCCTAGTCATAACACAATTTACTAGAATTCAAAAGCAGAAGCAAAACGACCTTTACTTTGGGGGGAAAATACCCACACTGGTATAATTCAGTGAAACACTCAATTTAGACTGCTGCACAGAGGAATCACTACCAAGAACTGAGTGTCGTCTGTTCAGAAACTGCAATGGGGCAAAAGTGAAGCTGGCTAAGTCTTCATTTAGAACAGTATGTAAAAACAGCTCCGGGTATTTACTACTTGGTGTTAGAAGAGAGGCACAAAGACAAACAGCTGACCACAGGAACCAGCTTCTGGAAGCTTCCATGTGTTATGCAGCCAAGGACTTTTCCATAATTTCATTGAAGGTAATATTACTGAAAACTGAGCAGATCTTAAACATCTAGAAATAACAGACTTCAGAGCATGTATGCATATGCAATGGGGGGAGGGGATGAACTTTAAAATCAAATACACAATTCCTATAAAGCACAGATAGATGACAAGGCCACGCTGGCTGATTCGCCAGGCGCGCGCGCGTGCGCGCACACACACACACACACACACACACACACACCTCCCTGTGATGCTCCAAACAGGCTAGCCATGAGCCCAGAAGCTTAGCTCTAACCTACAAGGAAACATGCACTGTGCCTCCTGGTCTGCAGAGTCATGGAAACAGTAAGCACAGGGACTCCAGAGAACTCAGGGGTGCTTTGCTCCCTTGAGGTCTTAGAAGTCAAGGTAAAGAAAACCACCCAGGTCTGAGACAGGACAGCACTGGGATACGGCACCTCCTGAGCATGGGGAAAGTCCTGAGTTCCATCCGCAGCACAGAACTGTCGAGAGAAGTCACCATCACCACTCTTAGGCAGCCCTTTGCCTCCCACAGCTGATCTGACTTTCTGGAAAGCCTTGTTTCAGTCCCTACCTTTGCTTTCAACAGTTTTAACAATCATTCAGGACCTTAGTTACCACCACAATGTCAGTTATCAAAACAGAAAAGTACACTAATACACTCTGTATTTTCTTTAGAGCAACTTACTTCAAAGATACGCTTAATACCATGAAATGAACTTGCCATTTCAAGAAGTTTCAAGATAAAGTATCTGCCCCAGCCAGGGTCTGACTTGTCAACAGCCCACACAGCTGGAGACACACTGGGACATCTGCATGCACCCTCTCTCTGCTGTCAGCACCCCACACTGCGGCACAGCCTTCACTCCAAGCACTTGCTTAACATTCTAATTGGCACGGTGATACACTTGGACATTTGTGTGCGTTAGTACAGTAGCACAACAGTGTGGTGATATGCTGTGTACCCTAATAAAGCTCGCCTGAGGACAGAACCAGCCAATAGATTAGACAGAGGTCAGGCAGTGGTGGCACACACCTTTAATCCCAGCACTTGAGATCTCATGCCTTTGCTTGGGAAGCAATATGGCAGGGCAGAGAAAAGTATATTAGGTGTGAGAAAACAGGAACTCAGTCTCTTTAGGCTGAGGATTTCGCAGAGCTAAGAACTAGTGGCTGGCTGCTCTGCTTCTCTGATTGTCCAGCATTCACCCTGATATCTGACTCTGGATTTTTATTAAAACACTGTCTAAGATCCGAACAACACAACCAAAGAAGTAAAAATGGCAAAATGTCTATTGGAGGAAGGAGGCGCAAGACCTCTCTTTGTGTATTTTTCATATATTTTCATCTAGAATCTGCTTTTTAAATTTTGATTTGAAATGTAAGTAAAATAGTTTCAACTCTACAGCAGAGATTTAAATGGAAGCCAAGACCACCCAGTCCCTAGTATTACGTAGGAATCTTTTTCATAATACATGTAATAACTACCTGTTTTCACAGCATTTTAGGAGAAAAGGACAGAAAAACAATTGTCTATAACTAGAAACATTGTCAGTGAACAGAAGCATGGTCTGAAACACAAGCCAACAGCCCCTAAAAACACACTGTGAATGAATTCACAGTCAGAGGGGTGAGCTGGGGCAAATACATGTGGAGCCCCATTTCAAATTCTGTCCCGAGACCACAAAACAGGATTTTCAAAGACAGCTTCCTGTGCTCCAGAAACCTGAAGCAAGACCACTCCAGATGCTTTAGGTCTTCAAAAATGAAGAAGGCACCAGCAGCACACAGTAGCACACAGCAGCACACAGCACACACAGCAGCACACAGCACACACAGCACATAGCACACAGCACACAGCACACAACAGCACACAGCACACACAGCACACAGCACACAGCACACACAGCACACAGCACACACAGCAGCACACAGCAGCACACAGCACACACAGCAGCACACAGCACATAGCACACAGCACACAGCACACAGCACACACAGCAGCACACAGCACATAGCACACAGCACACAGCACACAGCACACACAGCACACACAGCACACAGCAGCACACAGCAGCACACAGGTGGACAGGAAAGGAAGATGAGTCCCGGGCATGCAGAGCTCTCAAAGGGGGTACAGATGGGCGGAGCTCCCAGGTTTTGTAGTCTCTAGTACTCTACAATAGGTAACTAATGATTCGGTGGGTTCAAGATGCATGTTGAATAACTAACAAACACAGCTGACCAACATTAAGACTTTACAATTGTAATAGCTCACATATTCTCTTAATTAGGTTTCTTTTGTGACCTAGAACTGTATTTCTCAAATACATTTATGAAAAGAACGCCCTTTGGAGAAAAGCTGTGGATTAGGACAATAAACAAACTGCCCCAAACTGTCTATAGCACAAACACTGAGTATCTAACAGAATACAGAAGGAAAAACTAAACATAGACCACTTAGGAATTAAAATGTGAACAAACGCCCTGACTGTGCAAAAGTTGAACATAGATAAAGCAGATTCTAGATTAACTTCGGATAAAGTGAGCAGGCTGACTTAACATGACAAATAGTGTGTGATACTGTGTTTGCACAGCCTGCAATGGACAACAGCAGACTGTACCAGAACACCCAAGTTTCTTCCAGACAGCATCACTTACGAGACAGGACAGGACAAAGGGGAAGCCAAGGATGGCTAGAGTATCACTGTGGGGCAATCAGGAGGCCTGTCGGGACGGCAGACAGTACCAGTGGATGGCACGCTTACCTGAAGCGCTGTGCCTTTGGAATGTCACCACCTCTAATCTAGAATTCATGACAGTGAGCCTTAAAAGCCCCGGAGCACTCCACGCTCCCAACCATGCAGCCCCCAAAGGCCTCAGGGCCAGTCCCTGGTAGCCCTCCACCCCAGACTGTAGCTGGTCCTGAAAGTCACAGACTAAGAACCCTAACGCTCTAGGTCTACATTCCTAGGAACCAGGCACGGCCTGTGAACTGCAAGCCTCCTGCAGCCACAAATTTCACAACCTCAGTTCAACGAAGCAAGAAGACAGAAATATTTGTGGGGAAAATGTCACCTGAATTCATGTGTGCATTCCCTAAATGACACGTTGCCACTCTTTTCACAGCTCTTACATTGTTAGCAGGCATTGCAAGTGATCCAGAGATGACTTAAAGTACATGGAAAGATTGGGGGGGTGGGGGTGGGGGTTGCTGCATGTAAACACAATGCAGTTGTCCGTGAGAAGAGTCAGCATCCAGAGATTGGAATTCTGGGCGAGGAGGGAATCACAGGGAAAGATCCTAGACTCAGCCACCCCGCCGCCCTTTGCAGGCCGACAGAGCAGCCGCCTGGGAACACTGTTCCCCACATGTAAAGGCAGTAACCGCCTTCCTGAGTCACACACTCAGTAGAACTAGAACGTCACCTTTTTCGGTATGCTGCAGTTTAAGGAAGCAGTAAAACTGTACTAAAGCCAAAACATAACTCATCTGCACTGGATGTGCCCAAATCCCGTAAAACTCTACAGCAGTTTGGGGTGAAGCCAGGCTTGTAAAGATGAGCACCCTAAAGGTCATGAGCCACAGTCACCACACCTCCAAAAGAACGGTTAATATCCCCTATTCTCAGAGCCGGCCCAGGCACAGCAGTCACTTCTTATTAAATAAACATTTGTGCGATGAATGAAACACTAGAGGTGGTTCCCTTGACTGGTTAGGGGAATTACCCCATTCATATTTTACTGAAAACATTAGTTCTATCACTTGCTTATTGGTCATGATCACCTAGGTTGTTTACTAGTGGAAACAGATTCATTCCGCACCGTGGCTCAGAAGTACTAACAAAGTACACTGCAAGATAACAATCTTTAATTCTGGGGAAACACGGCACTAACAGAAAGTACAACCGTGCTACTAGTGTGAAAACACTGTGACCCGGGGGCACACTCACGGGGGTGGGAGACACTGTGCACACCAACCTTCAGAGCTCAGGCCCGCACCTAAGAATCCATGATGAGGCAGATGTTGCCATTCAAGTGTCTCTGAGCAGTCAAATGCACAGAGCAGAACGCTGTGACCTGAGACCTAGTTTCTCCCACTGAAGTTTCACAAGGATTGTTCATTTACCACAAATAATTATCTCAATGGCTCCAAGAATTTTTTTTCTGCTTCTAAAACAATCCACATGTTGCAAAAGTGTCTTTCCAATGCTAACAGACTAAGAATATTCTTTTCTTATGAAACTGTAAAAAGGAGACAAAGAGGAATCTTTGTAATAGTTCAAACCACAGAACATCTTAAGGGAGAATAGATCACTACAAAGGAAGTATGCAAGCAGCCCACAGTGTGCCAGTAAGATCCCTCACAGGAGGCTGGAAAGATGGTTCAGTGGTTAAGCTCTCCTGCTGTTCTTTCGAGGGAGTATAGTTTCTATCAAATGTCTGTAGCTCCAGCCCCATGGGATCCTGCCTTCTCTCCTAGCCTCCACGGGTGCCCACATACATGGCATATGGATCCACACATACACATGAAGAAAATAAATCTTAACAACAACAAAAGATTATTTTACCTACCAGCACAGAATATCCCGGGGACTTCACTCCTGATTATAACGGTCCGAACTTTCTTATCTGATTTTAATGCATCCACAGCTTTTGATAACTAAACCAAAGTAGGGAGGGGAAAGAAAAAGGAAAAAAATCATTTTCAAAATCATGTCAACAATGTATCTTAATATTAGAAGCAAACAGCTTAATCTTACACTCACCATTTTGAGAAGGTTTTTACTGAGTGAATTTTTCCCATAAGCTCTGTTTATTCCAAGCACCACAATTCCTAGTTAAGGAGGGGGAAAAGTACACACACTTGGGTTAGTGAGGTACTCAGAGAACAGAATGTAGCATATAGCTGACTAACCTGGCGTATGACCAATCTGCCATCTTAACCAAGGCTTGTTGCAAAGCAGGACCTTTATTTTTACAGCTATAGCTTTCTCCTCAAAGTCAAGTACTTTTTCTTAATACGGCAGTTAAAAACGTATCATATCAATTGGTACTTAATATTCTCAGTTCACTTTAAGGAGAGAATTTCAGTGTCCAGTTTCATGGGCCCTTCAACTTTTCTCTTTGAAAGCAACACAATAGGAATCTGCAGTGTCTTACGGGTTTGAATCACTAATAAGACTAGGGAGGGCCCACAGTAGAGACTGGCAATCACCACCTCATTCACCATCACCCAGAAAGTGGCATGCACAGGGGACAGCCTTGCTGCACGCAGGCTCGGCCCTGCTTTCTGCTGCCGCTCCAGCCTCAGGCAGCCCGCTGCTCCTTGCTGCTCTAACAATCTTAGTACTTCTATGCCAGGCTTCCTCCTGACCTCTGCCCTGCACTCTTAACCCAACAACACTTCCATTCAGATCTACAAGCAATTCGGACTCAACCCAAATAAAACAAAATTCATTATCCTTCCCCTAAAGCCCAAGCCCTCCCTCTCACTCCCTGTTTTATTTTCAAGCTTTCATCCGAACCGGCTGAAGGCTCTCTGCTCCAGCTGCTGCTGTCAGACTAACTTTCCAAAACCAGCTCCGTGCACAGACTTCACCACTTATGCAAAATCCTGCATTTACCAAAAAACGTCGAGTTCAGTGGCTGTAACTATAGATCTTAAGTCCTATACAACCTGCACTCAACCTTCTCCCCTAGGCACAAACTTTCACTGTGGGTCAGAAATGCCTTCTCCAGCTGAGTGGGCCTTATCCGTTCCTGACTTAAATCAAGGCAAAATACTCACATCCAAACACCGTCAGGGAGGAGAACAGCTTGCAGGGGACTGAGACTGTGAGAGGCCAGAGGCCTACACCTATCTGCACTGACTGCACAGTGTTGGGTATACCAGCTCATTAATCCCACAGCAACCCAACAGGCAGCCACCATTCTGCCAGTTTAAGTGTGTGCCATTAGCGGGTAGGCGGCTATATAGCTCCACACCTAAATGACTGCACTACATATATGCAAACTTCAGTTTCCATGTGAAGATAATTTAGCAGCCTAAGCCAGATGTACCGAGTACACATTATAATACTCAGTTGTCTCATTAAATACATACCAACATAAATGGTGCATGGTGACTCTGACCAAACTGACATGGCCTGGGCCAAAAGAAAGCCAAGGAAAGGCTCCCCCAGACTACTGAGATGAGCCAGAAGCTGGATGCTCAGGAAGGAAAGTGAAAATCATTGGGAAGAAAGCTTGACTGGATTGAGACGTGCCTAGAACTAGTAAAGCACACACCTCTAGGGGTGGCTGTGACCACCCCTACCAGCTGCAACCTAATGAATGAATGAACCACCCTGTGATGGAGTCTCCGTGTGTGGCATTACAGGAAAGCAGCAGAAGGAAGGAGGCAGGCCTGGCTGGAGGAAATGGGTCAACAAGTATGGCGTCTTTGGGAGCTGCATCTTGCCCTGGTCCCTTCCTATCTCCCCTCCCTCTGCTTATCATCCTCCATGAAGTGAACAGCTTCCTCCACCATATAGATTCCTACCACCATGATGTTCTGCCCAAATGCATGATGGGCCCTCACCACCAAGGAATGAACCTTCTGAAACTACCAGCCCAAAATAACTCCTTCCTCATTTACACTATTACTGTAAGATACTTTGTCACACAGGAAAAGTGACACAAGGACTGAATTCGGAGCAGAGGATGCCCAGGAGAAAGGACAAAGGAGAGAGAGAGAGAGAGAGAGAGAGAGAGAGAGAGAGAGAGAGAGAGAGAGAGAGAGCGCGAGCGCCAGCCCATGGTCTGAGAGAGAAGAGAAGTCAACCACAGTAAAGAAGTCAGCAAAGGTCAGAGAATGTCCTTGCAGGCCAAGATCAAAGTCCTATCTGTCTTCAGCTCAAGGCAACTTGGCAAGAGCAAGAGAGAGAGAGAGAGAGAGAGCACAAGAGAGCGAGAGCACAGAGTGGCATCAAGATGGGAAAGAAAAAAGTAAAACTTTGACCACTTACAGGGGACATGATTATCTATGAAGGAAAACCCACAGAACCCACCAAAAAAAACTACAGAGCCAATTAATGAATTCAGCAATGCTTGTGCTTTGTACATTAACAGTAAATAATCTAAAAATAAGTTTAGCAAAGAACTCCATTGGTAACAACATCAAGGCACAGAACAGGAACTCCACTTTGCAGTCCAGCACTGGAAATCATCACTCAGTCCTAGCAAGAACTAAAGAAACTGAAAGACAAGTAGTCTCTAAATCTACCAGCGAGCGGAGGTCTAACAAGAGGGCATATCTCAGCAGAAACCCAAGCATACCCTCCAGAGGAGCCAGTGCGGAGACAGAACACACCGAACTACAACCGACAAACGGGTTTCACTTGCACAACCGCCCAGGAATCAGTGTAGGCCACGTGTGATGGTTAATCTTGACTGTCAGCTGGACTGAGTCTCGCCTAGAGATTAGCAAAATCCACCTGCGGGTGTCTGCGGGTTCAACTCTAGAAAGGATAACTCGTGGGAGAAGACGGCAGGATGCCCCACCATCAGTAAACTCTACAGTCGTAAACTACACCATCAGAAAGTTTTACACAGGTTTATCATACACCACGAAGCTCACGGTGACGGAATTAGCTAGCTGTACAGCTCGCCATAACTGAACAACTTGGCTCTCAGTAGCTCAGACTGGCCTTGACCTCACTACGTAGCACACGGGTTAACAGGTACATCACCACTCCCTGCTTATGCATCAGTGGGGACTGGACCCAGGGCTTCCCGCACGCCAGGCAAACACTCCACCGGGTGAGCTACACCCCGGCCCTACATTAATATTTTTATAGACAGTGTTGGACTTCCTTTGATGTGAAACTAAAGGGGGCTTGCTGTTCCATTGTCTCAATAAAGAACAATAATAATGCAGAAAACATAACCAGAAAGGCTGTGAATCACAGTGAGAACTCAGGACAGGCTTAAAGACATTTTGATGAAAGTACCTGAAAATGTGGCATCTTTCTATAATGCTTTTTTTCTTTCACCATGAAGATGTATATTTTTACTTAAAAAAAAAATTTCCAACTTAAAGTTAATCATTATTACTAAAAAATTATAACAACCAACCACTGAAAAACACTGCTAGAACCTGTTTGATACCCATAATAAAATCAACAGCTTGGCAAATGCTCCAAAGGAAGTCACAATCCACATGTACAACACACATGCTCCCACGCTTCTAAACCATACCGTGAGACGTGCAGGAGCAAGGCAACGATCTGGAATTGGTTTGGACTCACTTTAGGTGTATGGGTGTTGTGCCTGCATGTATATTTGTGCACATGTGTACCTAGATGTCATAAAAAGGACATCAAAGCCCCTGAAACTGGAGTTACTGGAGGCTGTGAGCCACCAAGTAGGGGCTGGGACTAGAACCTGTTCCTTGCAAGAGCAGCATGGCTCTTAACCCCTGAGCCACCTCTCCAGCCCTGTATCAACTTTTATAAAAGGCAACTTAGAGAGAAACAATTAAAAACAAAAAACACACACATGAAAAACATTACTACCATAAAAAGCACTCTTTAAAAGACAGAATCAACACAGTCATAAGAAACAAGCTAGTAGGAAGGGAGTGGAGAGGAGGCCCTCTTAAAGCTGTTTGGGGGAAGACATCACATTTTTAGAAACAGCCAGCAAGGAGAGGCTGGAAGGATGACCAAGTGACACTCTTAGCAAGATCTGGGCAAATCCCACTGGCAGACACTTCCTACAACTCTGAAAACCAGAAAAGTCAGATTAAACAAATGAAACATGTCTTTACACAGTAAGCCATAGCGTATAAACAGTTCCTCACATCTATTCAACACAACACTGATTCTGAACAAAATGGTGTTAATCCAGCTGAAAAGCAGCAATGTGGCAAGAACCAAGAGAATACTGAAAAGCGAGCAGGGCTGAGGAGGAAGGAGCCACGCCTCAGACAGTGACACAGGAGTCGGGGTGGGCGGAGGGCTTGCCTGCTGTGTGGGGGGCACTGGCCTGGATGCCACTGCACAGACAGACCCACCTTAGTCATAAAGCAGTATCGCAGTGCAGCACCCACAGGCCAGGCAAGCAGAGTTCCCGGGGATCTCCTCTGCACCGACAGCGTAAGTCAGCAGGCGAGGCCAACAGACATGCCCGGATGGTTAGATGCTCACCGGAAAAGAAAGGACACACGTGTACACCTAAATACGGAAAACGGAGGGGGTGCGGCTGAAGGACTGATGACCCCTAAGTGTGGCCTTCTACGGCCCCATTCTCTCCGTCTGCTGCTGCTGCTGCCCAGGCTTTGCCCTTTAGAGGGGGCAGAAGCATCCTTCGGTCTGAACAGTGAGTTTTTATCACAATGAATTGTGTCAAATGCTTTGTCTGAGTGTGTTGGGGTAAGTGCAGTTTTTCTTGTTTAGCTTGCTGGTGTGATCAGTCACTTTAAATGCTTTCAGTAATGACCCACACCTGCACCCCCAGAGTATAGCCCATGTGGTTGTGGTAAATAGTTCTTATTATGTATCGTTAGATTTAATTCGTTTGGGTTTTATGTGAGGCCAAAAAAGACTCGCACTTAAACCTAAGTATGCAAGACCATGAGGGTGAAGACACCAGTGAACAAGACAACGGGAAGCACAGACGTGACACATAATAATCCAATCAGCTCAGGAGTAACTTTAGGCTGGAGGGACCTAAAGAGATCACGAGGGGCTGGAGAAACGGCTCAGCTGGTGGAACTGCTTGCCCTCCATCAACTCAGCCCTAAAAACCAACCAACAAACAAAATCATCAGAGCGGATAATAAGCAGGACTTGG